GATGGAGCCCAGAAACACAAGCTCACCATTAACTGGAACTGTGAACTTGGGGACCAAATGCAAACTGAGCTTCTTTCTCCAGTAAACAGAGAGCGATGGAGAGAAAGGAGGCTTAGTGACATTCCAGAGGCCAAGCCAACTTCCTGTGAAGTCAAAGTGGCAATGCCTCAAAAGCGCCCCAAAGCGCACCTTACTACCTGGCAATCCACACAGACTTTCTTCCTGAACTCAGCCTTCTAGGCCCTGAGACTGCACTAAATACTTTCAGCCTCCCCTGACAGAACCCAGAGTCCCGTGATCCAACACCAGATGGTGCGGGACTCTGTCTCCACTCCCTACCCTGTGTCCTCAGCATGCAGACCTCTGGACATGGACCACTTGTGGGGCAACCTGCTGTAAGGCACTCAGGTTGGCCACCACATCTACCATACCTGGAAAGCACAGCTGGGGCAGAGCAACGAGGTCCACACCACCTGGGATGCTGATGTCCTCAGAGTCAGGCCCTTTGCAGTCCCCCGGGGGGCTCTTCCAGGCCTCTGTCTTGGGCTTCTCTCTCTTCTTCCTGAAGGAGCGCCTCCTGCCTTTCCCTAGGGTCGCACAGTTCCCAACAGCCCCCTGGCTGTCTTCTTTACTGATAAAAGGAGGCACAAAAACAGACAGAACCTCTGGGTCCAGCGGGGAGAGGCTTCTGACTCCCCTCTTTTGGGCAGCCTGAAAAAGGAACAAGAGGAGTCACTGCATGGTCCACTCCTTCCCAGCACAGCATCCTCTGCTCATCTCCTCCGCCTGCTCTCTGCCACAGGCTCCAGTAGCTGCAAGTGGTCCTGTAAAGGTGCAGGGGGAGTGTCCTTCCCACCCGAGAGTCACATCATCAGTAAGTCACCAAGGTTTCTTGTAAGAATTCCCAGTCCCAATGTTCAAACATTCACAAAACCCCTTAAGCCCAGGGCTTCTGTGTGGAACACAGGCAGCTACAATGTGCCCTCTTGGCACAAGCACTGCAGCCCTGAGCTGAGTACTGAGAAGTACACTGGAGCTTCAATCCTACCTCGCAGTCTCCAACAGCCAGCTGCACATGACTGTGCCTCTGAGTGCCCCTCTCACAGGGTACACGGAGGGGATGGAGCAAGCAGGACACACAGAGGAGGGCAGCCCCAGGACCACGCATGTGCACTCTGCCCAGGGAGGTCAGAGGCAGATGCTGAAGGGTCCTGTGCATCCTCATCCTCACACTCTACATAAACATGTTCACTGGCACTATGCCCTCCATGCCCCTGGGCCTTCCCTCAAATGACTTCCTGTCCCTGCCAATCTGGTGGATGGACAGAGGAGTGAGGAAGATCTGACAGATATGAACGGGAGACACATCCTTCTTCTACGGACCAAATGGTTCCTTGGGATGGGTGAAAGGGGAACACTTAACCTGAATTCTTTTAAACTTTAAGCTGCTACCAGTTTTTTTTAGCTATTTATCTTTCCATTCTTTTCCCATATAATATAAGGAACAGA